GCGCCGATAAGAAGAGGGGGCGAAAAATTAGAAACCTGTTCGAAGTCTTGACCGAGAGCATGGAGGAATTCAAGACGTGCAACGAGGGGGGGCAATATTTCGAGCAGCGGGTGAACCACCGCCGCACGCTCGAGAAGAACATCAAGGATTTCAGCAAGGAAGCGCTGCAAGAGGGTGAGGACCCAACGGCCAGGGCAACGCTTCAGAAGCAGTGCCAGGCGGTGTTCAACTTTGCGAAGGCGTGGATTAAGCACGGCTCCTTCAACCAAGCTGTAAGCCAGGTGTTCAAACAGAACGAGTCTTTCTTGAGTCTGGAGCCTGCCGCAGAGGAGCCGTACCCGCCATGGGCCCAGCGCCTCGCGATCGAATGGAAGGTCGCGCACGTGGACGAGGCGTCGGATATCTGGGCGTTGCTCTCGAAGAAAAGCCTGACGGCCGCTGGCTACGCTGAGGCGAGCTTCTTGGATGCCAGGTACGAGCTGCTCGGGACGGCGATCACCATCTTCGCGAAGGACACGGACGCGTACGACGTCCCCAAAGCCTTGAGAGCTTGAATATCCGAGTGCCCGCATGGCGTCCATGAGTCAATCAAGATTGAGATCACCCACCTTTCTGCGCTCGTGACTCCACATGCTCATCCGACGAAGGAGTTGAAGGCGGCGCTGCAGTTCGTCGACGGCGGGAAGGACATGCACTTCATTGACACCATGCTTGGCTGGACAGCTGGCGCGGACATCGTGGAGGGCGCTCGCAAGGCCTGCCTGGACCGCGACGTTTGCGAGGGGTTGAAAATCGAGGTCAGCTCTTTCTGCGAGAAGTACAGCACAGCCGACAAGATCAGCTACATGGGCTGCACGCCTGTTCTTGATGAGGCCGTCGTCCTCGCCGAGCGCATCCAGGCTGTGAAAGACGATGACGGTGCGCTCCGTGCGGGCGTTGGCGAGCAGGCGAAGGAGTTCGCGGCCCTGATCTTGCAGGATGCGTTTATGTCTTTGGAGTACGCACTCGGGGCCTCCGCGCTGAACAACACCTTCACCCCGGTCGACGAGAAGAGCTACAGGGAGTTGCCTGGCCCGAACTTGTACGACATGGCAGCAGCTTTCTTGGCGATGGAGAGCCTCCAAGATACATTCTTGAGGCAGGTGGAGGACGCTGATTGCTTGGGCGATTTCAACACGTTCGCGGACCTCGTTGAAACGCTGGTCTGGATCACGCCCCCCTCTGCGACGAACGAGACAACGCTGGAGAAGCAGGTCTCGCTCAGGAAGGACATTGCCTGCGACCTCTAGCTGCATCCCTCAATCAAGAAGATCGCGGCCAAGTAGATGCAAGTGGACACGCTGCGCGAGTTTGAAGCGGCACTCTATGGCCTCCGCGACCCGTTGCAATGCAAAGTCACAGCCGACATCGACGCGTCCATCTTGGAGACGGTCAAGAAGGAGACCCGCGACCTCGCGCCCATGTTCGAGTCTCTCGATATCGCGAAGTTTTTGGGCGGTGCTCCGGAGGAACGTCTTTATCGAGCGGCCTTCGGCTGACCCCGCCGAATCGGCCTCTTGGCGGCAGTTGTGGGGCCTATAGGGGCCTCCTTGAGGCCTCTTGGGGGCCTCTTTGGGGCCTTGCGGGGCTTCTTATGGGCATCTGGGTGGCCTCTCGAGGGTTCTCGGGGGCCAGTTGGGGCGGGGTTGGAGGCCGTCGATCTCGGCCCCGCTCTGGGGGGCCACGATCCTCGCGAGGGGCGTTAAGCAATGGCCATCACTTAAGTCATGTGCCACTGCGCTGGGCCCCAGGGAACATCGACAAGCCCCGAGAGATTTGAACCGAGGCTCAACAGGGGGCCCGGCAAGGGGCCTTAGAACCCGCCCTCTCCGTGCCAATGGGCACGGTTGCGGACTGCGCTTCCACGCTGCCATTCTGGACTGGCCTCACTGACTGTGATATCATGGGCCGCGTCGGGTCAGCAAACGCCGTTGCAGTCGCCACCAACGATGAGAAATTGCAGAATCAAGTTGCGTTTCTCGACAAGGGCATTCGGGCCACGATGGCGGTGGTCATCTTGGCGCGGTGGGAGCAGCAGGGCCGCGGCTCCATGGGGAAACTTAAGTTGGACAGCGCCTCCCCTGGTATGGTCGTAGCCGCGCGAGCGGCGATGGACAGTCTCCAAGCTTTCGTGACCTTCGTGACCAAGAAGGTCAAGGTGCAGGACCTGACGGCGGCGCTCTTGACTCGCGCTGAAGTTGGCGAGGAGGTCCTTCTTCGCCGAGTTCGATGGCTTGCAGGCGACGCAGTGGGTCGCTCGCTTGACGGCGTGGTCGAAGCACGTGATCGAGACGTGCGGCAAGCACTGGGGCGAGGCGATGAGAGGCCTCGCGGTGTCTATCAGAGGCAACTTGATCGAGTGGGAGTCCAAGGCAGACACGATCCTCGCGCCCAGCAACAACACTTTCGTGCGGTCCCTCCTCGAGAACAAAGGCTACCAGCAGCTCGCGCCCTTGGCCATCGCCCTGACCTCGATGATAAAGGAAGCCAAGGACCTCAACCGCGGTGATGCAGACGCCCCAGTGATCAGCCCGGACACGATCAAGGCCGCTGCTGACGAGCGCAGGGCAGCCCTCGTCCTCGTGTCCCTGACCTTCACCCTCTACACCATCAAGGTGGAGTGGCCGAAGATCCGCGGATACAAGCAGCAGGAGACCGCCAGGCTTGCCCTGGAATCCGCCCACTCGAAGTCGGCGTTCGGGGACTCCTGGGACTGCTTGCCGGTGAGCATCAAGAACTACGTGCAGTCATTCGGCGCTATTCAGACCAGCAGTGGCCCCAAGTGATTGTTCGGGGTGGCAGGCTGGTGCCGCTTTCGCGGCCTTTCGTGCCTGAGTTGCGCGCAACATTGTTGGGTTACGCTCTAATGCAGGGAATTCCAGGCACAATAATTCGACCCCGTAGATAGGAAAACGGTTTAAAACGGTATATGTACCAGCGTGTGTGCACTACCACGCTACCCTCCTTTCGCGCAAACAAGTTTGAGGGAGACGATTGGACTCGATGGGGCGAAGGCCATCTGAGACAGGAGTGTCATGGTGGGGAAGGCCATTTGAGACACCGGTCGGCGGGCCTCGGGGATGCGCGTCGTCACCGCGGCGAGACGCAGCTCGACGCATTGGTTTCGCACTCTGGGGTGGGGATGGGTTTTGCGAGTTTCGCGCATCGCGGATATTGCCGTTATTCGCGGGTCGCGGTCCTCCTTGCACAGCGGTCGCCCACGAGGATTCAGGATGAGTCGCGAGAGAGTGAAGCTATGGCCTGCGTTCCTTCCTCCAGCTCCCCAGCTTCTTGCCTTCTCGATTCCCTCGTCGTCGAAGTTGCCCTTCCCCTCCTCCTCCGATCCCCAGCCGCTGCCGTCCTCGCCATCCGCGTCATGTCTGTCCCAGTGTGTGTTCCCCCCCTCCTCATCCTCCTCCTCCCCTCCTCCTCCTCCCCCTCCTCCTCCTCCTCCTCCTCTTCCTCCTTCTCCTCCTCCTCTCCTCCTCCTTTCCTCCTCCTCCTCCTCCCCCTCCTCCTCCTCCTCCCCCTCCCCCTCCTCCTCCTCCTCCTCCTCCTCCTCCTCCCCCCCCTCCTCCTCCTCCTCCTCCTCCCCTCAGCCATTTCCCAGCCGTTTGACTGTAGTTCGGTTTGTTGGCAGTGCGCTTTGGATTGTCACGACCGCGTTGCGCTCCTCCTCTTCTGCTCCCTCATTCTTGCCAATGGTGGATCGAGGCTCAAGGCCATTTGGGCCTATGGCACGGCGCGACCCCGTAGGGTTGCCACACTGGCGATCTTTGTCGATCGTCGGTCGGCGGTAGCGGTGTTGCTATGGGGGGGGGGGGGGGCGTTGAAGGCGGCCCAGGGCGATGCGCAAGCTGGGCGGAGGTGGGCTCCCAGGGCGGTCGGGCGGCAGTGGGGGGCCTGGACTTTGTTGCGAAGCCTCGGGTCTTGCCGCCGCCCCAATTGCGCATCGGTTTGCGCGCGACCTCGGCCATCATCGCTTACGTTTGGAACGATTTTGTTTTAGCGGGGGGCCGCTGAGGCCCACCAGGGTATTTTGCTTTCAAGCGCGCCACGCGACTTGTCGTGCGCATGCTCGTGGGCAGCGCGGCCCGTTGCCAGCGGTTCCGCGGTTCAGCGCGGTCGCGGCTTGCGGTTTAGCGCGCCGGTGCGTGCGCCATGTGCGCGTCGACGTGTTGTTGCGTTGCGCAGGTGCGTTCGCGCGTTTGGATCGGCTTCCTGCGCGCGGCCATGGTTATGTTTTTTTGTTATGTTGGGAATTGTGGTGTTGTTGCTGTTGTTTTTTTGTTGTTGTTTTGATTTTGTCTTTGTTTTTTGTAGGTTTGTGTTTTTGTTTGTTTGTTTGCTTTGCGCGGCAATTGTTTGCAGCGCTACTGTTCGCGATGGTTGGCGCGGCTCAAGCCATGCCTGAGGCGACCGTTGTTCCCCTGGGCGAGAACGTTGCTTCGATGGCTGAGTCCGATGTTCTTCACCTCGACTGGTTGTTCTAGCGCGTCCCTCTGGAGATCGCGGCCGGTGACGTCGGCTGGGTCAAGCGGCCCCGCCTGTACTGGGCATCCTGGGACCTCCTGCCGTCGCACGAGGCCGAGGCTACCATGGTGATGGCCGCGGACTCGCCAGCGCGCCGCGTTTGTCGCGTTGCGCTTAAAGCTGCGCGGCCGCCGCTGGAGGAGCCGCTGCCGGCAGGCGCGAGATGCCCTGGCGCCGTCGAGGGCGAGCCGCCGCCGACCTTTGTCCGCTGGGCGCCGCGCTCGCAGCCGCACCCTAGGCCCGCGGGCATCGGCGAGTGCTCAGCTGCGGAGCCGGCGCGCCGGGAGGAGGCGGGCTTCGCGGCCCCGCCTTATCAGTTTCGTGACAAGTGGTGCATTCATTCACTTGCCTGATGGGCGGGTCTCGCCTCCTGATGCTGGCGCGCGCGAGAAGCTGATGGGCTTCGCCGAGGGTCACACGGCCCCTGCATGACGGGCAGCGAGGCGAAGGCTGACCCTGGGAAGTACGAGGCCCTGCGCCGCTCCATGCTCGGGAACCCCTTCCAGTGCTAGGTCGTGGCCTGGGTGGTGAGCCACTGGGCCGTTGCTGTCGGGCTGCTGGTAGCGGTGCCGTCGCTCGCGGAGCTGCGCGAGAGCGCGCGGGCCTGGGTTGGCGGCCGCAAGTTGTGGGCAGGCGACGCCGCCTCCTTGCGCTGCGGGCGCGCGAAGGTCGACGAGGAGGTCTGCCGTGAGCTGCAGGTGGCAGGGGCTTCGCAGGAGCCCGCGAGCCCCGCGGGTCGCGGCGCTGGTGCCTGGGCCCCTCGTGCCGGGGCAATCCCTTCGCCGTGGACACGAGTTGTCCTCGCGAGGACGCTGTGGTTATGTTCGCTGGCTGGCTGCGCAGGCAGCAGCTGCTGCTGGGGCGCCTGGAGGAGCTGCGCGGCGCCGAGCTGGCCTGTCACTGCAGCCAGGCCGAGGCGTGCCATGCCGACGTTACTCTGGCAGAGCTGGCCAAGCGTGACGAGATGTCCCGGCGTGATCCAGACGTCTCGCGCAGGCTGGTGATGTACTTAGCGATGGCGTGCCACAGTAATGGTGCCGACCTTCGCGCGGATGGAAGCTCTGAGGAGTTAGGTAAAGTGTACCCTCGGCAGGAGATGGACGCAGGCATCTGGCAGCGGCGCACGGCAAGGCAGTTGATTTGGGACGCCCCCGAGCATATCAATGTACTGGAATGACAAGGTGTTTTGATGATGCTTAGAGGGCGAGCTCGATCTTTGGCTCGGCAGCAGCGCGTCTTCTTACGCCTACTCGACAGCATGGTCAACATCGGTGCGCTTTCCAGGCGCCGCTCCAGTAGCAGCCAGCTCAACAAGGTTGAGCGCAACGTCTGCTTGGGAGCTGGCGATGGGCGCGCAGGCGGTGTTCGGCTTTGCTGGTCCCGCTCGGAACCCCGCGGGTGCCCCGTCGCGCCTGACGGATGGGGAAGCGGAGTAGCCCATCCGATCGTCGCACCGACAGAATTGGATTGGAGAAGCTGAGAGATGCTCGCATTGGACTGCCACTCTTGCGAGATATCTCCTTGCCGCTCAGCAGTTCGTTGACTATCTCAATGCCATGAGCCTGCCGTTGCTGTCGGGTTGGGAAGATGTGGATATTACCCTTCAAGATTATCTTGAGCACCTCTGGGCAGAGGGTGCTACAGAAGGTCAAGCTAACGATACACTGAGTGGAGTGCAGCACTTGTTGAGGACGCGCCGGCAGTGTCCTGGTGCGTGGCGGCTGCCGTCAGTCTGGGGCCGCTTAGAGCTACCTCAGCGTGCGCCGCCGACGCCGACGCTGTTCTGCAGCGCGCTGGCTGGCTGGGCGCTGGGACGCGGCGAGATCGCGTTCGCTGCGATTGCGCTGGCAGGCCCCCACCTCTGCCTTCGGACGGGCGAGGCCCTCGGCCCCTCCAGCGGCGTCGCCCAGCAGAAGCCTCGCGGCCGCGGCGTGATTTCGTCGCCATGGACAAAGACAGCCTGTCAGAAGGGGGCGCGGGAGACGGCGGCGCTCGATGGCCCGCTCGCCGGAGCCGTTGTGCACGCGCAGCTGCAGCGGCACAGCCGCGCGTGGCCTTCGTCTCCCCGCGCTTGCCATACCTTGTTTCGCACTGGCGCGCAGCAGATCGGCTGTAAACATGTGGCCCTCGTCCCTTGCAGTCTTCGTAGAGGAGGCGCCACTCACGAATATTTGCTTTCAGGAGACTTGTCTAAAGCCATGCTTCGAGGGCGCTGGAGTTCCGCGAGGACGGCAAGGATTTACATCGAAGATGGAGCCACAATTATTGCCGAGATGCGGTTCCAGCAGGGCACCCGTTCCCCTCCCCAGACGGTCTCAGACATTTTAGTTGCGAGTTTCTTAGGACTTTCCAAAGGGCGGCATTCAGCCATATCTAGAACACAGTGGAGAGCTTTTGCCGGGACTTTTCTCGAGGCTCGGGTGTTCGATGTTTGGAGAGCTTCTCGGTCTGGCACCCTCGGGTGCGAGTCTCCTCCCCTCTAGCCCGCAGCGTTCTGACCCCGGTCGCGAGACGGTGGTGCACTTGTGGTTGCTGGGGATCATGTTGCGGCTCCGGGGTGAGTTTCGAGCCTAGCACAGGGGTGTGCCGGTCTTGGGAGGAGTGGGAGCTCTGTCAACAGTTTTGGTCGATCAATGAGGGAGTAAAATGGGGGGCCCGTGCAGAATTCCCCGGCATACTCTTCGACCTCCTCCTATGTCAATCCCGTTCGATCCCGCCCGCACACACATAAATACATTTAAGGTTGATGTGTGGGCTAAGGGCTCAGAGCGCGTAGCATCGGCCGTTCAGTGAATGCATGGCAGCTGTTCTGCCCCGCCCACGAGCCGCCCGAACAAGTAGCTCCGTCCTGCCAGCCAGCTAGTGTTTTCAGCTTCGCGAGAGCAAGCTTCTCGGTCTGGCACCCTCGGGTGCGAGTCTCCCCCCTCTAGCCCGCAGCTTTTTGACCCCGGTTGCGACGAGACGGTGGTGCACTTGTGGTTGCTGGGAATATTGCTGTGGCTTCGGGGTGGGCCTCGAGGCTCGCACAGGGGTGTGCCGATCTTGGGAGGTGTAGAAGCTCTGTCAACAGCTTTGGCCGATCAATGAAGGAGTAAAAAAAGGACCCCTGCATAATTCCCCGGCATACTCCTCGACGTCATCCTATGTCAATCCCCCTCGATCCCGCCCGCACACACACACACACACACACGCACACGCACACACACACACACACATGTATGCCCTTCGTGGCCCCGCTGCCCTTCGTGGCCCCATTGCAGCCCTTCGTGGCCCCCTCGCTGCCCTCTGCGGCCCCGCATATGTATGCCCTTCGTGGCCCCCACTCGCTCGCGCCCTGGAGGCCCCGTTGCAGCCCTTTGTGCCCCCCACGCTACGCTGCCCTCTGTGGCCCCATTGCAGCCCTTCGCAGCCCCCTCGCTGCCCTCTGCGACCCCACATGTGTATGCCCTGCGTGGCATCCGCCCGTCGCGCCCGCCGTAGCCCCATATGCATCTATGTGTGCCCTTCGCTGTCGCCCTTTGTGGTCCCCTCGCTATCCCACGTGGCCCCGTTGCTATCCTCAGTGGCCCCGTCGTTGCCTTTTGTGGCCCCGCATTATGTGCCCTTCGTGGCCCCCACTCGTTCGCGCCATTCGTGGCCCCATACGCATACCGTTCGTGGCCCCGCTGTCTCCCTTCGTAGCCCCCTTTCCTGCCCTTCGTGGCCCCGTTGTCGCTTTCGCTTTCGTTTTCGCTCGTCGTCGCCGTCGTCGTCGTCGACGTCGTCGTCGTCGTGGTCGGTCCCCTGTCCGTCCCTCTTGGGGTCGGGTTGCCGACGGTCAGCGCCGCCGCTGGCCAGGCCGACGGTCCGCGGCCGCCCCGCCGCTTGCCCGGGCCCGGCCTGCAGGGAAGAAAGATGCACCCTCCCAAAAGGGGCACGATCGAAGACGCAGAGGGCGGGTATCGAGGGTTTGGGAAACACACGTTGAATGGCACTCGAGCGCGTAATAGCGAACAGTCTTCAAATGATTGTTGTTCTTGCTGCTGTCGCTGTTGCTGCTAATATGGTTGATGTTGTTGTTGTTGTTGTTGTTGTTGTTGATGTTGATGGTGATGGTGTTGTTATTGTTGTTGTAACTCGGGGGCCAACGGGCCAATTCGGTGCCCCCAGATTTCATTGATAAACAACAGAGTGCGAGCCCCGGGAGGAGCATTCAAATTGAAAACAGACTGATCACCGAAGGGGGGGATAAAGAGCAAACATCCCCTCTGGAGATGCCTCCCGATGCAGGCGGGCGCCCGCTGGGCCAGGCGCGCTGCCGCCCTCGTTCGACCCCTGGGCCCAAGGCGTCGCATGCCGGGCCACGGGAGGGAGTGAGGAGCAGGAGGACAGAGGACCAGTGCAAACCTAAGACGCATCAGCGATGTTGGAATACACCCTCCCTCCAAGTTCCGGTTGCGTTGATCCTTCATCATAAATGTATTTTTATTGCGGGAAGTGGCCCAACATATGCGCGTGATTAAATGTTGGCCCATGTTTACAATTGCGGCGCAAAACGGTAATTTTCCGGTTGTTTCCAACCGGGTTCGAACCTAGTTCGAACTTGTTATTCGAGGAAGTCCCGCGTGAAACGTTCATGTTTCTATTGTTTCGAATTGAGTTCGAATTTGGTTCGAATTTATTGTTCGAGGAAGTTCAGCACGGATGGCTCACTGTTCTATTTTTGCGAACCGGCTTCTATTGTTTCGAACCGATTTTCGAACATGGTTCGAGCCTTTGTTGTGAAGACGTTCCATGCGGTTCACCGTTTTCGATTCGCCATCCCGTTTAGCCGGATAACAAATTAATTGGGAATACAGGCTCAAGGTTGCCCGCCCCGCGCTCAGCTCCACTCCCGTTGTGCCAGGCTCCGCGCGCCTAACGCGGCACCTCCGATCTGCGACAGCATGTCAAACATTGGGCGATTTGTCATCACGATACAGTAATCGACACCCGTCCAAGAATCCCCAATGGTGCCGAAACAAAGCTCATGGGACTTCAGCGCCGCAGATCAACGTGACTGTTGCGTCCTGACGTTCCGAAATTGTGCCAGAACGCCGTTCCTGGAATTTCAACACCGAAAATCAACGAGATTGGTAGGTCCTGGCAATCCTCAATCGTGCCATTGGACTTTGACCATACGAACCCTCGAGCTGCAAGCGTTTTGAAGACGAATGTGCGCGGCGCTAGGCGAGAGTCATAGTTTGAACAGGGATCACACTCCATCCTTGAAGTTGTTTTATTGTTCAAGACGAGCGTGCGCCCTTCATCCGTGAACCTGTCGCACATTTGTGGGGCGAATGTGCGCAGCACTGAGGAGAGCCACATGTTGAAAACCAGCCGCCCTCCATCCGTTAAATTGCTGCAAACTTGTAGGACGAATTCGCGCGGCACTCAGGCGAGAGGCACATTTTGAAGGCGGGCCGCCCTCTATCCGTGAAGTTGTTGCAAAGGTCAAGTTTCAGGATCAGAAATGTCGAGGTAGTCTCAGGCGAACCGCCCGGCCCGCCCTACTGACACGTCTGGGGGTTCGGGGTGCAACAGGTAGGAGTTGTTCATATTGTCAGGGATGGAGGAGGAGGATGAGGATTCAGGAGGCGGAGGAGGAGGAGAAGTAGGAGGAGGAGGAGGAGGGGTGAGGAGGAGGGAGGGGATGATTCAGGAGCAGGAGGAGGAGGATGAGGCCGAGGGGGAGGTGGACACATACAGAAGACCAGAGTAAGAGTAAACCCCAGATGCATCAACGATGCAGTCACGGATGCTGCAATGCATTTTGCTGTCCTAAGGCCTTTTCTTGAACGTCCTTACAAGCCGCTCTTGGCGAAACAAGAAACGATCCTTCGAAAGACCAGCACACAGTTGAACCTGCACTTTAGGCAGCACCCCATTTTGCAAAGGAATTGCCATGCATCCTTCCAGCAGTATGGGATGCACAAGCGTATGATCATACATTTCAGCGAGGTGTCCAGTGAGATCCCCATTTTGAAATGGAAGGAGGGAGAGGAAAAGGATTTAAGGGGACGGGGAGGATTGATAAGGAGCGTGGGAAGGAGGAGGAGGGGGAGGAGGAGGAGGACGGATAAGGTGGGAGGAGGGGAGTGATTGGCATCAGTGGCGCCCAAACGATTGGGAAGGAAGGGGGGATTGTTGCAGATGGTGGTCATGGTGGTTGTGGTATGGCGATGATGGTGGCGGCGATGGTGATGATGGCTAGTGTGGTGCTTATGGCGATGATGGGGTCCTCATCACCCAGTCTGATGATGTCAGTGTTTATGCGATGTTCGTAATGGTGAGTGGTGGACACGTGTCGACACCCGAACCTCGTCTATGCCCCTGGTGGTCAAGCCTCCCTCCGGGTCAAGAGCAAACTACATCTACTGGCCTTCGGCCCATCCCGCCACCGTGCCTGGGTTGTGGGTCAGAGTCCTCAGGGATGCTTGTCGGGGTCTCTTCGGATCGGGAAACTCTGGGTGGCAGTTTTGGGGCCCCTTGAGAGCCTCTAGAGGGCCTCTTGGGAGTGTCTTGGGGGTCTGTTGGGCCTTCCTTGGGGCCTCTTGGGGGCGTTTTGGGGCCTCTTGGGGGCTTCTTGGTGGCCTCTTGGGGCCTCCTGGGGGCCTCTCGCGGCCGAGGGCTCAGAATGTTCGTTCGGGTCCCCCATCTGGGCCCCCTCTTGGAGCCGTCGTGGAGACCTCGTGGGCCGTCTTGGAGTCCGTCTTGTGGCCCTTTTGGGCCATGCCCTTTTGGAAGATGCTTCGGCTGTCTTGGGGCGAAATTGGAGACCCCTGGGGCCGTGAGCATCGGGAAGCCAAAAAAGGAAAATCTATGACTTTCGCATCTTGCGGCCATCTTGGGAGTGCTCTGGGAGGCCTCCTTGGGGCGTCTTCGAGGCCTCCTAGGCCGTCTGGAGGCCATCGTGGGCGTCTTGAGGAGATCTTTCGGCGATTCTGGGCCCTCCTGGACCGTCTGGGCGGCCTCCTGGGGCTTTCTTAGCCCGTTTGGGGCGGGGGGACTGTCCCGGAGCCCCACGCGATAAACCCCGGGAGCGCCGGGGAATTTGGGGATTCGGGCCCGTAAGAAATTTACAAGCCATTTCCGTTTCAGGGCTGCATGAGTTTTGGGGCATTCCATTTCGTGCTAGAGGCACGGTGGCGGATCATCATAGCCAAATGCCGTTGTAGGATTTTACCAGGAACCCGAATTAACATGTCGTTTATTAAGTTAAGACAAGCTCGCAAAGCCATCTGAATGAATGGTTTTCAGTCGTCTCGTCCAGTAGGGTGTGCCAGTTCCCAGAACATATGTTGGAAAACCTGCGGTCGAGTTTCTCTTCCCCAGAACCCTCCTGAACCCATCTCAGAGGAGTTGTATCCCTTCATAAGATGTCAAAATCAACGTATGCGTGCGCGTGCGTGTGATGAAGATGAGTCTGAACATGACATGTGAAGGTGATGATGGTGATGACGAGATAGTGATACTGAGCGAGATTTGATCATGACGATGGTGATGCTGATGATGATTTCAGTGAGTAAGATTTTAATCGTGTGTGATGAGTGTGCGACTGTTGATGATGGTGTGAGTGATTGAGGAAATGACGATGTTGTTAGGGATCACGAGGAGGCTGGTGCTGTCATCCCTGATGCTGACGTATATATATATATATATATCGTGTTAGTGATTGAGTGACTGATTGTGCGAAGGGCGAAGAGGAGAGGAGGAGGAGGAGGATAAATACTGCTCGGGGGGCCCAGACAAAGGCAATACCCCCACTTAGGCTGTGGGGAACAACTATAGACAAGTACTCAAAGTCATTGTACACTACGCGGGGGGGGGAGCCGGGAGCGGGAGCCTTTGCAGGTTTCTTCGCCGACCGAACGTTGGGAGGAGAGGGAGCCTTCGCAGGTTCCTTCTCGCGGCTAGAGCAGGAGCATTTGCAGGTTCCCTCTCCAACGAAACGATCGCGGGAGCCTTTGCAGGTTCCCTCTCCAGCCGAACGAACGCGGGAGGGAGCGTTTGCAGGTTCCCGTTCCCGCGACTAGAGCGGGAGATATTTCAGGTTCTTCCTCCAGGCAAACGAACGCAGGAGAGGGAGCGTTTTCAGGCTTTTTCTCTCCCGCGGCTAGAGCGGGAGTGTTTTCAGGTTCTCTCGCCAACCAACCGCGACGACGACTAACAAATTCAACATCGGAGGTCTCTGAAAAGAAGAAGGAGGAAGGAAGGAACGAGGTTCCTACGAATTTCGTTGGATGTTCGCACCAGCCTGCAGCAAATGCTACTCGCACGAGGCCCCCGTTCGAATGTTCCCGGCTGAACTTTCCTCCAACATAAGTGTTGCCCCTTCGTGAGGGGGGAGCTCCCACCTAAGACGCCCTCGCGTTGCAGGATGCGGACGACCCGCTCGGATTAGTAACATGATCTGCGGGCCCCATTGGGAGGGGGCTCCCGCTTGAGACTTCCTCGCGATTCACTCACGGACGAGGCTCGCGCACGAGACTTCCTCCAGATTCAAGGCTCGGGGGCCCGAAAGCGACGACAGTTACAGGATTCGGAATGACCCGCTCGGCTCAGTAACATGATCTGCGGGCCCCATACAGAGGGGCTCCCGCCTGAGACTTCCTCGCAATCAACTCACAGACTGGGCTCCCGCATGATATTTCAGTAAGATGAGCGTATATGTGCGCGTGCGATGAAGATAAGTATGAACATGACGATGTGAAAGTGATGATCATTAGCGAGATCGTGATCATGATCATTGTGATACTAATGACGTGTTCAGTGCGTAAGATATTGTTCGTGTGTGGTGAGTGTGTGGTTGATGATGACGGCGTGAGGGTTTAAGTGACATGATGTTGTTGTGAGGGGTGATATGATGATGATAGTGTGTGGGTGATTCAGTGAGTGAGTGCGAAGGGAAAGAAGGAGAGGGGAAGGAGGAGAAGTATTGCGCGGGTTGTTCAGAGGAAAAAAAGACCATTTAGAAGATGGGGAAACTACTCAGATGCACATGTCCGTGCTCTCGCCCAAATGCAAGCTACATGTTTGGTCCGGACGGCCACGATCATTCGTAAGACTTATTCGACGCGGAGATCCCCATATGACGTCTCCCTCGCCACCTCGCCGTGCCAGCTCTGAGGCCAGGAGTGGTGGACGCCCCCCTCGCCAAGCCTCCTCCGTCTTTCTTCCCGTCCCTCGTCCTTCCTCTTCCTCCTCCTCTTCCTTCTCCTCTTCCCCCGTCCTCTCCCGATCTCCTCCTTCGTCCTCCTCCTACTCCTCCTCCTCCTCCTCCTCCCCAATCCTCCCCGATCTCCTC